TCTTAATAAGCACAGTACTGTAAGAGAACTCCTAACAATAGAAGCAGCGAGGGTGGATCATATAAGATCCGAACATAATCTAGCTGATCCTTTGACGAAATGATTACCTAGAGAGAAAGTCCAGAATACCGCCAATAGTATGGGACTCATACCTACTGAACCATGAATTATAAGTGACGGTAACCCGACCCGATAGACTGAAGATACCAAGAAACGGGTTCAATGGGTAATAACAAGTCATGAGTAATATAAAGAAAAGTTCATGCAAAGAGAAGCATGATCCTAAAGACTAGAGGTTGAGTTAATAGAAACTCTTAATGAGGTCTATACTCCATGTAGAGTGAAGTACTTTACTTTGGGGGTACTTCTGATAGACTCACATATGTGAATGTGGGAGTGGGGCCGCTCCCTATGGAACTTTGAGGCACAAAGTTGTTAGAGCATTCACTAAACCGGGATAACGTGCATGGCCATAAACGCACGAGCTAAGAAGAGAACACAACTCAATGAAAAGATCTGGTGTGCTACACTTTCTGAGATAGGGTTCAAGACTACGAGTCGTCCTTATGAAATTGGAAGTGTAACCACTACGCTAAGGTTCAAATCTTCGCGATACCTTAGCTTATGCCCGATCTTATTAAACTGTTGATGCTCAGAGATAGTTTCAAAACTATTCAAGTGGGGGATTGTTTGAAATGGAAGAAAATGAATAGCTTTTGAAAGCTATAAGTCTCAATGAGAAAAACTACCACATCGATTGTTTTACACTTGTGAAGTGTGTATAAAGATAGGTGCCTCTCTCTTAGGGGCATGCCCCTTGGGGTGACCCACTTTTGTGAGAGAGGGAGGACCTAACAGACCACCACACGCGCACGCGCTCCATCCATTCCTCTATCCGTCCGACCAACTGACCGGTTGGTCTGTTGGTTGGGTGGGTGGTCTTGATTAAGACTAATATTTTTTAGAGAAATTAATTAATTAGGACATAATTATCGTGTATCTTTAAGAGATACGAAGATAATTAATGCCAAGGAATATTCGAGAGATAATCCGGGCAGGAATTATCTTAAAGACGCGTTTTAATTAAGGAAGTATTTATCTTCCTAATTACCGCAACTTATTCCCCAAGTTAGAGAGTATTTTTGTGGGGTCTGGCTACTATAAATAGTCGTCTCCCAAACCCTTCTAAACACACCACAAACGAGCAGAAACACAGTAGAGAGAGTGTTTAGAGAACTTCGGTTTTCGCACAAAATCGCCGAGCATAAGAGGAGTTGTTTTATCATGGAGATGACCGGTTGATAGTCTTTTCATGCGTAACGAAGGCAGTGCCGAACGTTTTAAAGAGAGTAACCTAATCCACGACTCAGCTCCAGATTCGATAACCCGTTCCTTGTTGGTGTTCCGTTCCTAACATTTGGGTTGTCGGCAATGCCATCAATCGGACCGAAGCGAAGAATTGGTGGTGGTGGTGGAATCGATCACGGTGGTGGTGACGGGTTAGGAGAAGATGAAGGACAGGGGCCGGATGGCTGGGAGAGAGAAGGGCACAAACTAGGATGAATCGAATCTTATGTTCTAAGTTCTTGTTTCGTCGATTTGGGTTGTAGGATTCTGGTTCTTGTTCATCGATTTGGGTAATGCAAGGTTTTAGGTTTCCGGATTTGATTGCCGAGATTGATTGAGGAGATGTTAGACTGACGAATTGTAATCTGGGCGAGTACAAACAACAAGCTCACTATTAGGGATGACAACTTTGCCCATACCCATGGGTTTCTTACTATCCAACCCAATTGGGTTGGGTATGAAATCCAAATATATGGATTTGGGTAGAGTTTGATGGGTTTGTACCCATACCCATTTACTTTGATTTGAGTTGGGTTTATATCAAATGAATTTGGGTTTGTACCCATGCCCAAACACAAATTACATTTTGGTACCCAAACTTAATAGATATGCATATTTAGTACCTAAATTTAATTTTTTTGCATATAAGTCCTCAAAATATCAATGGAAAATTACTTTTTGGTACCTAAATTTTTTTGGTCTTACATTTTGGTACCTAAACTTTTCAAGTTTTACAAATAGGTCCAATTTTTGCATGTGTAGTTAAAACACCCTCAAGTAAATGGATATCCATATCCAACCCATACCCATTTAGATTATGGAAGCCCCAAACCCATCTATAAACCCCCAAATCCATATGCACTTCACCCATACACAACCCATTATCAATGGGTCTACTTGGGTTTGGGTATAATTACCCATGGATGGGTAATTTGCCATCCCTACTCACTATGATTTGGGCGATGCTTGCCTGAGTTTTAAGGAGAGGTCGCATTGGCCGAGCCAAAGCCTTTGCAGTGTGACTCGCTAAAACACAACACCTAACAAAGGCCAAGTGTAACCAATGAAAGGGACTGCAGTATAGTGGCTCAAGTGATAAATATCGAATCCACGGGTCTCTAGAGTTACTATTACTCAGCTTCAGTTTATTATTTAGCAAATCAGATTAAGATGAAAGAACTAAAACTACTCTAGCAAACTACAGTTAAAGTTAATTAGCTTACAGGTTGGGAACTCACTTAGGTATGATTCCCCCTAGCCACTAGCCAGATTAATGATTGATGATCTCTAACCTGTTTCACTTTCATTCACAATGCGGAGAATCCTTGACTAGACCTTGAGTCTCGACTAAAGGAACAAGGCCCTCTTGAGTCAATTGCCTAGAGGGACGTATCCTTCTCTAGAACAACTGATCAAGGCGTTCTGAACTAGACTCCCTCTATCGAAAGAGGTTCTCAATCGATACAAAGCAGTGAATCAACCCTTGACTAAAGCAATCGATCCACTACTATCAATCTATGGTGCTCTATTGACCTAATCAGGTATTCCCTCTCATAGGATCAAAGCAGAATCAATAATCTCGACTAAAGCAGAATTGAATCATGAAAACATGCATAGATTGAATATGAACTCAAGATTATCAAGTCAGAGTACTCATACAATCATCCAATCAAACAAACATAGCTAGGGTTCCTCAAAACCTAAGTGAAGGGAAGTTACTCCATAGAGAAGAGAGAGACTGCAGTAAGAATCTTCAGATGATCAGTCTTCAAGTCCGGGCTTGTTCCTCAAGCTTCCAAGGCGAAGAAATCCTCCTTCTCTACTCCAAGAATGCCCTCAAATCGCCCTCTCTCTCTTTGGTTCGTCCCTTGGGTGTTTGGGATCCAAAAACCCAGCTCTCCTCTTCTTTGGTTCGGAATTTGGCTTAAAACCAGGAAATCCCGACTCACACGGGCAGGGTGGCACGGCCGTGTGGCCTACCCAGTTGCCCGTGTGAGGCAAAACGCACCGTATCACTTAGTCGAATTCCAGGCTTCTTACACGGCCAGGGTGGCACGGCCGTGTGTGACTTCCTTCTGCCCGTGTCTGCTCTCGGCGAATGTGGCACGGCCAACCCGGCCACTTGCACGGCCGTGTCAATCTGCTGCTCTGCCCGTGTCTGCTCTCGCAGAATGTCACACGGCCAGACTGGCCTCTCGCACGGCCGTGTGAACATCAGGGTAGCCCGTGTGACCTCCTTTGCGACTTGTCTCGCTCCCGATCTTCGCCCAATCGACCCCGAACTCGCTCCTAAACCTTCATTCACTTGCCAGAACCTGAAATATCACAAACAAGCACAACCTAGCGTGAAATCGGTCTAAAACACGAGAAACCACATCTCGAACGGTGTAAGAATAGGGGTGAAAACATGTGTAACTAACGGGCTATCAAACTCCCCCACACTTAACCGTTTGCTTGTCCCCAAGCAAACCTAACTCAAACCAATGCAACTCTCCAGACCTCTATAGCAACAAACAACCCAGATCGTAGGTAGAGGACTTCCTAGATCATTTAGCAACTTACGAGGTCAACCGACGCACAAGTCATCTCAAAGCTTCTTATCGAGTCGGCATCATGGCAAACAGTGAACAGAGGACAAATGAATCGTGGATGAAGAGATTCTCTAAAACAAAAGATCATGGACTCACATTTTTCAAGGTGCTCTATTTTCTTTGAAGATGGTTGGAACCCCTTTTCTTTCTGTTTTGCTTGTTTTCTGTTATTTTTCTTTTCTTTTCTTTTCAAGGGTCCCAACCTGCTCTTACCGGCCATGCCAAGAGCGGATGTCTCGAGCCTCGTGCGGGGGAAAGACATGTAAGGGGGCTGGAGGTAGTAGGTGGAAATTGGGAACGGATTCCCGTCTCCCCTTACACACTTTCGCCCTATTCGCACGGGAGACGTTATTTTGAAGCACATTTTCGAGCACCTGTTAAACTCAAAACATGATACAAGAGTCCATGACAGGTAGAGAATCCACAACACCACACAATTCAAGGGTCCTAAGATCACTAATTCACTCAATCAACCAACTCAATATGAAGAAGAAATGAGACTTCTTAAATGCATCAACATCCTCCATAGTGCTACACTACCTCCCTAGGTTGCATATTACTGTAAAGACTGTCAATTCAAAGCATACTGAGCAGGCAATTGCAAGGAAACACGTACTTGGAGCCCTCAAATTTAAAAATTTGGACAGTGGACTAAGCTCCAAGCACACAAACAGCCAAACATTCACCCGCATAAATAATCGAACATCCCCCCACACTTAAGCTCGACATTGTCCTCAATGGAGGAAAGATAAGGAGGGTAGAACGAAGTTACCAGATCAAGGGTGAATGATGATGTACGGGTCAGGCGGTGCATTCCAGAAAGAGAGAGTAATCAGAACACAAACACCACACAAAATCTCACAAAGGTTGAGTTATTGACTCTAAAATCAAATAACAAAACTGACTCAACCGAGGAGAAATAGAGAAAGAGATGCAAACCGACTGGTTGGGTTGCCTCCCAACAAGCGCTTCTTTCACGTCGTGAGCCGGACGATGGCTCCTAAGTTTCGGTCCATGAGAGAACCTCCTTGAAGTTGAGGTTCTCGTCGATGAGGTGGAGTCTCAAGTCATGAGCATGTGATGTGGCAGGTGATGAAGCTCATGTACTTGATGCAGATGAAGTCTCCACCCTCGAGACCTCTTCTTCTCTTCTCTTGTCTCATTGCCCCAAACCAGATAAGACAGCATCGATTGGCCACCATCGCGTCCACCAAGAGGGACCGATGTCGATGTGGCCTTGGTCTGGCAAAGAGACACTGCAAATGGGTCCTTGCTAAGCAGTTCCTCGAAGTTTGGTGGAGATATCACATGTAACTCATGGCCGGTGCAAGCCTCTTCCACCTCAACTTCGTCCTCAGCCTGGACGCCAATCGCCTCTTCAACCTCCCTTCCTTCTTCATGTGGTATCACCCCTGGGAAATGATCAAGAACTCCTCCAACTTCACTTTCGTCATCCTCCACAACTTCTTTCTGCACCCTTTCTTGCTCTTCTTCTTCTAGCACGGATTGGAGAGCAAGTTGCCAAGCAATTTCTTTCATGAGATCTTCTTGCATCTCCTCACTCATGCCCGCCTCTTCAAAGCTCAGTTTGGGGTGTGGGAAGGTGTGGTCGGCTACGACATGACACGCCTGATCATGATCATCACGGGAGCTCTCCGTGACAACTTCAGTGTGTTCCACAATGCCCTTGTAGCCTTCTTCTTCCTCCTCCTCTTCTTGTATGGTAGCAGAAGGGTGATCTGGAGCAGGTTGCGCCCAAGATCGCTCAAGATCATCGACGCTCTTCTTAAGGCTCAGGAGGATCTCATCTGTTTCACGATAGGCCTGGACACACTGATCCATCCTGGAGCATGTTCTCTCACAGTCTCGAGCAAACTGCTCCATGAGTAACTCCAGCGCCGATGGCCCTTCTGGTTGTGGGAGAAATTCTTCTTGATAATGAGGTTGTTCTTGATATGCCCAGGGGTCCGGTTGTTCTCCGTAGTAAGGGGGTTGGTACTGGAACCCGAATCCATAGTCTTCTTCGCCTTGATTGCTCCAGGGAGTCTCGGAGTAATACCACTCGGATGGTGGTGGATACCCCCAATGGTTGGAGAAGCCATGAGGATCCATGATTCAGATCTGCACCAACAAAAACAAAAACACCCAAGTGAAAAGCAAGGGTGGAAAAGAAAAGAAAAACGCTAAAGTAACAAACTTCTGCCTTTCCTAATAATCTAGAAAGTCCCCGGCAACGGCGCCAAAAACTTGACTCGCTAAAACACAACACCTAACAAAGGCCAAGTGTAACCAATGAAAGGGACTGCAGTATAGTGGCTCAAGTGATAAATATCGAATCCACGGGTCTCTAGAGTTACTATTACTCAGCTTCAGTTTATTATTTAGCAAATCAGATTAAGATGAAAGAACTAAAACTACTCTAGCAAACTACAGTTAAAGTTAATTAGCTTACAGGTTGGGAACTCACTTAGGTATGATTCCCCCTAGCCACTAGCCAGATTAATGATTGATGATCTCTAACCTGTTTCACTTTCATTCACAATGCGGAGAATCCTTGACTAGACCTTGAGTCTCGACTAAAGGAACAAGGCCCTCTTGAGTCAATTGCCTAGAGGGACGTATCCTTCTCTAAAACAACTGATCAAGGCGTTCTGTACTAGACTCCCTCTATCGAAAGAGGTTCTCAATCGATACAAAGCAGTGAATCAACCCTTGACTAAAGCAATCGATCCACTACTATCAATCTATGGTGCTCTATTGACCTAATCAGGTATTCCCTCTCATAGGATCAAAGCAGAATCAATAATCTCGACTAAAGCAGAATTGAATCATGAAAACATGCATAGATTGAATATGAACTCAAGATTATCAAGTCAGAGTACTCATACAATCATCCAATCAAACAAACATAGTTAGGGTTCCTCAAAACCTAAGTGAAGGGAAGTTACTCCATAGAGAAGAGAGAGACTGCAGTAAGAATCTTCAGATGATCAGTCTTCAAGTCCGGGCTTGTTCCTCAAGCTTCCAAGGCGAAGAAATCCTCCTTCTCTACTCCAAGAATGCCCTCAAATCGCCCTCTCTCTCTTTGGTTCGTCCCTTGGGTGTTTGGGATCCAAAAACCCAGCTCTCCTCTTCTTTGGTTCGGAATTTGGCTTAAAACCAGGAAATCCCGACTCACACGGGCAGGGTGGCACGGCCGTGTGGCCTACCCAGTTGCCCGTGTGAGGAAAAACGCACCGTATCACTTAGTCAAATTCCAGGCTTCTTACACGGCCAGGGTGGCACGGCCGTGTGTGACTTCCTTCTGCCCGTGTCTGCTCTCGGCGAATGTGGCACGGCCAACCCGGCCACTTGCACGGCCGTGTCAATCTGCTGCTCTGCCCGTGTCTGCTCTCGCAGAATGTCACACGGCCAGACTGGCCTCTCGCACGGCCGTGTGAACATCAGGGTAGCCCGTGTGACCTCCTTTGCGACTTGTCTCGCGCCCGATCTTCGCCCAATCGACCCCGAACTCGCTCCTAAACCTTCATTCACTTGCCAGGACCTGAAATATCACAAACAAGCACAACCTAGCGTGAAATCGGTCTAAAACACGAGAAACCACATCTCAAACGGTGTAAGAATAGGGGTGAAAACATGTGTAACTAACGGGCTATCAAACTCCCCCACACTTAACCGTTTGCTTGTCCCCAAGCAAACCTAACTCAAACCAATGCAACTCTCCAGACCTCTATAGCAACAAACAACCCAGATCGTAGGTAGAGGACTTCCTAGATCATTTAGCAACTTACGAGGTCAACCGACGCACAAGTCATCTCAAAGCTTCTTATCGAGTCGGCATCATGGCAAACAGTGAACAGAGGACAAATGAATCGTGGATGAAGAGATTCTCTAAAACAAAAGATCATGGACTCACATTTTTCAAGGTGCTCTATTTTCTTTGAAGATGGTTGGAACCCCTTTTCTTTCTGTTTTGCTTGTTTTCTGTTATTTTTCTTTTCTTTTCTTTTCAAGGGTCCCAACCTGCTCTTACCGGCCATGCCAAGAGCGGATGTCTCGAGCCTCGTGCGGGGGAAAGACATGTAAGGGGGCTGGAGGTAGTAGGTGGAAATTGGGAACGGATTCCCGTCTCCCCTTACACACTTTCGCCCTATTCGCACGGGAGACGTTATTTTGAAGCACATTTTCGAGCACCTGTTAAACTCAAAACATGATACAAGAGTCCATGACAGGTAGAGAATCCACAACACCACACAATTCAAGGGTCCTAAGATCACTAATTCACTCAATCAACCAACTCAATATGAAGAAGAAATGAGACTTCTTAAATGCATCAACATCCTCCATAGTGCTACACTACCTCCCTAGGTTGCATATTACTGTAAAGACTGTCAATTCAAAGCATACTGAGCAGGCAATTGCAAGGAAACACGTACTTGGAGCCCTCAAATTTAAAAATTTGGACAGTGGACTAGGCTCCAAGCACACAAACAGCCAAACATTCACCCGCATAAATAATCGAACATCCCCCCACACTTAAGCACGACATTGTCCTCAATGGAGGAAAGATAAGGAGGGTAGAACGAAGTTACCAGATCAAGGGTGAATGATGATGTACGGGTCAGGCGGTGCATTCCAGAAAGAGAGAGTAATCAGAACACAAACACCACACAAAATCTCACAAAGGTTGAGTTATTGACTCTAAAATCAAATAACAAAACTGACTCAACCGAGGAGAAATAGAGAAAGAGATGCAAACCGACTGGTTGGGTTGCCTCCCAACAAGCGCTTCTTTCACGTCGTGAGCCGGACGATGGCTCCTAAGTTTCGGTCCATGAGAGAACCTCCTTGAAGTTGAGGTTCTCGTCGATGAGGTGGAGTCTCAAGTCATGAGCATGTGATGTGGCAGGTGATGAAGCTCATGTACTTGATGCAGATGAAGTCTCCACCCTCGAGACCTCTTCTTCTCTTCTCTTGTCTCATTGCCCCAAACCAGATAAGACAGCATCGATTGGCCACCATCGCGTCCACCAAGAGGGACCGATGTCGATGTGGCCTTGGTCTGGCAAAGAGACACTGCAAATGGGTCCTTGCTAAGCAGTTCCTCGAAGTTTGGTGGAGATATCACATGTAACTCATGGCCGGTGCAAGCCTCTTCCACCTCAACTTCGTCCTCAGCCTGGACGCCAATCGCCTCTTCAACCTCCCTTCCTTCTTCATGTGGTATCACCCCTGGGAAATGATCAAGAACTCCTCCAACTTCACTTTCGTCATCCTCCACAACTTCTTTCTGCACCCTTTCTTGCTCTTCTTCTTCTAGCACGGATTGGAGAGCAAGTTGCCAAGCAATTTCTTTCATGAGATCTTCTTGCATCTCCTCACTTATGCCCGCCTCTTCAAAGCTCAGTTTGGGGTGTGGGAAGGTGTGGTCGGCTACGACATGACACGCCTGATCATGATCATCACGGGAGCTCTCCGTGACAACTTCAGTGTGTTCCACAATGCCCTTGTAGCCTTCTTCTTCCTCCTCCTCTTCTTGTATGGTAGCAGAAGGGTGATCTGGAGCAGGTTGCGCCCAAGATCGCTCAAGATCATCGACGCTCTTCTTAAGGCTCAGGAGGATCTCATCTGTTTCACGATAGGCCTGGACACACTGATCCATCCTGGAGCATGTTCTCTCACAGTCTCGAGCAAACTGCTCCATGAGTAACTCCAGCGCCGATGGCCCTTCTGGTTGTGGGAGAAATTCTTCTTGATAATGAGGTTGTTCTTGATATGCCCAGGGGTCCGGTTGTTCTCCGTAGTAAGGGGGTTGGTACTGGAACCCGAATCCATAGTCTTCTCCGCCTTGATTGCTCCAGGGAGTCTCGGAGTAATACCACTCGGATGGTGGTGGATACCCCCAATGGTTGGAGAAGCCATGAGGATCCATGATTCAGATCTGCACCAACAAAAACAAAAACACCCAAGTGAAAAGCAAGGGTGGAAAAGAAAAGAAAAACGCTAAAGTAACAAACTTCTGCCTTTCCTAATAATCTAGAAAGTCCCCGGCAACGGCGCCAAAAACTTGACTCGCTAAAACACAACACCTAACAAAGGCCAAGTGTAACCAATGAAAGGGACTGCAGTATAGTGGCTCAAGTGATAAATATCGAATCCACGGGTCTCTAGAGTTACTATTACTCAGCTTCAGTTTATTATTTAGCAAATCAGATTAAGATGAAAGAACTAAAACTACTCTAGCAAACTACAGTTAAAGTTAATTAGCTTACAGGTTGGGAACTCACTTAGGTATGATTCCCCCTAGCCACTAGCCAGATTAATGATTGATGATCTCTAACCTGTTTCACTTTCATTCACAATGCGGAGAATCCTTGACTAGACCTTGAGTCTCGACTAAAGGAACAAGGCCCTCTTGAGTCAATTGCCTAGAGGGACGTATCCTTCTCTAAAACAACTGATCAAGGCGTTCTGTACTAGACTCCCTCTATCGAAAGAGGTTCTCAATCGATACAAAGCAGTGAATCAACCCTTGACTAAAGCAATCGATCCACTACTATCAATCTATGGTGCTCTATTGACCTAATCAGGTATTCCCTCTCATAGGATCAAAGCAGAATCAATAATCTCGACTAAAGCAGAATTGAATCATGAAAACATGCATAGATTGAATATGAACTCAAGATTATCAAGTCAGAGTACTCATACAATCATCCAATCAAACAAACATAGCTAGGGTTCCTCAAAACCTAAGTGAAGGGAAGTTACTCCATAGAGAAGAGAGAGACTGCAGTAAGAATCTTCAGATGATCAGTCTTCAAGTCCGGGCTTGTTCCTCAAGCTTCCAAGGCGAAGAAATCCTCCTTCTCTACTCCAAGAATGCCCTCAAATCGCCCTCTCTCTCTTTGGTTCGTCCCTTGGGTGTTTGGGATCCAAAAACCCAGCTCTCCTCTTCTTTGGTTCGGAATTTGGCTTAAAACCAGGAAATCCCGACTCACACGGGCAGGGTGGCACGGCCGTGTGGCCTACCCAGTTGCCCGTGTGAGGCAAAACGCACCGTATCACTTAGTCGAATTCCAGGCTTCTTACACGGCCAGGGTGGCACGGCCGTG